GAAGAGGGCACCAGATCTCATAACGGATGGTTGCGAGCCACCATGTGGTTGCTGGGAATTGAACTCAGGATCTCTGGAAGAGCAGTCAGTGCTCTTAACCTCTGAGCCATCTCTCCAGCTCCTCATTTGTATGTATTCTTTACAGAGTTTTCTATGCAAGTCCTTTCCCAATTTTTACTTTTGATAATCAAATTTCTTTTTTCTTTCCCTTTGTGGCTTTTTGAGATAGTTCCTCTGTGTAACAATCCTGGCGGTTTGTTACTCACTCTGTAGACAAGGCTGGCCTCAAACTCACAGAGATCTGTCTGCCTCTACTGTCCAAGTGCTGGGATTAAAGACATGTACCACGACCACCCAGTAAATAATCAAATTTCTTACATAGTCTGAATATTAACCCTGTATCACATATATGATGTGTAAATATTTCTCCTTTGACACAAGAACATTTTAAAATTTGATATGGTTCCATTTGTCCATTTTTGATCTTGCTACTTACGTTTTGGTGTCAGACGCAAGACATTATTATCAAATCCCAAGTTCTGAACATTTCCCCACATTTTCTCCTGCGATTTTTATAGCTTTTATCATGGACATCCAGTCTTATCAACACGCTTTGATAACACACTGACCTTGACATTCCACTGCTTCCCCAACCATCAAAGGACTCTAGATAACCATAGTAACTAGTGCTGGTGGCCAGAGGTATTTAAGAATGCATAGAATAGGGAAGACTCCGGTGAGCAATGGAGCAGGACCTCAGGGGACCTTGCACTCCATACAGGGAGTGTGTGTTCATCCTGCTGTTTTCCTTTCAGACTTTCAACGAAGCTTTGGCTGTCCTGGAACTCGCTTTGTAGACCAGGCTGACCTTGAACTCACAGAGGTCCACCTGCCTCTGCCTCCCAGGTGCTGGGCTTAAAGGTGTGCACCACCACTACCTGGTGACTTTCAATGCTTTAACATTTGAAGTTTTGCTGATTTTTCTTAGGGTTGGCCAGAGACAGTGAAGAATACAGTGCTGAGAGCACATCACCCAGTTCAGGATCACCCCACTTCCTCTATTGTGCATTCAGGACATTCCTGCCTGATACCAAGGTTGGGTCTAGACAGGTAGGGATGGTCTCTGCCCCAAACAGGCTGACATGATTGTACCTAGCCACTCTGAAGCCTGCCCCATCTGTGTACTAACACATGATGGGATAGCACCCATTTTACAAACTTTCACCTCTCGGATGTGTCATCCCACAGGGCCTCCAAGCATGGTGGAAGCATGTGTCCTCAGTGCCATCTATGTGCACGACCATCTTCTCAATGGCAGCCACTGCTGGTGTGGTGGTCCTGTCATACCCAAATCACCACACAGCTATTACTCCAGCATCCCATGAGCACTGGCCGGCGCTTACAGGAAGCAGAGTGACTGCCATTCAAGAACCTGTGTTTGGAGCATCTCAGAGGATTCCTCTTAGATGAGAGGCCCGAAGATGAGACCACATTGATGTGGGGACTGTCCCAGTGCAGGGCATATCCTAAGAGTCCTGGCCATAGCCACAAATGCCCAATCCTCATGGTTCTAGCAGACTATCAGAACATCTGTGAGGCAGCCTCTTAAAGCCGGTGGGTAGGACTGCATCCCTGGAGACTGGAGAAGTACAAGTTAGATTTCTGCAGCAATCAGTATGAGGAAAGACCTAGGAGCAAGCCTGTGGCAGGTGGCCAGCCTCAACAGTGACATACTTCCTCCAACAAAGCCATACCTCCTAACAGTGTCACTTCCTTTAGGGGTCATTTTTGTTCATACCACTATAGCCCCGGAGCAGAACTGTGGCAGGTGGTCAGCCTCATCAGTGCTTGAGCACATGGCAGGTGTGTGAACAAGTTTGTTTTGCTTTTGACATTTGGAAGGAACTGTTTCAGTAACAGTAAAGGGTTGCCCAAGCCAGGTTCTGCCTGCATCAGTGTATGGACCGGAGGGAATGGAATGACAGGCCATTTTGACAGCAGATTATTTAACTGCAGGATGTGAGTGACTATGACACACACCCCCATCTGAGTAAGTCACATGAGGCAGTTACTAAGTAGGACACAGAAATACAGGGTGCAAAGCAAGGGCAAGAGGAGTGCCAGTCCGGGAGGTGGGCTGTGGGTGCCTGTTGAGCTGGAACAATGCAGGAGGGGCTACTGGCATCTGCTCCTGTCCAGATCTGCTGGGGAACGGTGTGGTTTTAATGTTGCCTTCCAGAGTTGGGACTCCAATGTGAGTCAGAAAAAAACAACCTGTTCCAGTCTCAAGCTGGTCAGAGTGTGAGTGTGTGTTTCTTCATCTGCAGAGAGGGATGGTTTCCAACTTCTCTTTCCTGAAAGAGACCTCTAAAAGTCATGGGAATTCAGCAGGGGACAAAGAGGGCCCCAAGCAACAAGATCCCAGCTCTACACCTTTCTGCTCACTAGGAGCCTTATTATGGATGTGATTTGGTTGTCATCTTGCCATCTGCAACTAAAACCCCAGCAGTTGGGCACACCTGGGAGGGACTGTTTTCATAATGAAATCCTTTGAATTGGGAAGATCCATCTTTAATATGGGCCACATCTTCTGGTGGCAGCCTGTATAAGGGACATGAAAGAAGGAAGCTTGCTCTTGCTGCCAAGTCCATTCCTTCACTGGCATTAGAGCCTATTTCTTTGAGATTCCTTCATATACTGAAGACCAGCTGAGACATCCAGCTTCAAGATGAACAACTTCAGGATTCCTGGACCTTCTGTTTGTAGACAGCCATTTGTTGGATTAGCTGGACCACAACCTAAGCCATTCTAGTAAATCTGCTTTATAGATGTATGTGTATATTCATCTTATGTTCCTACAGAGAACCCTAACTGGGATTCTAAGAAATGCAGCTCTTTCATTGTAGGTCAAAATCTACAGTGCTGTCTCTGTGTGTCCATCTTATATGTACATGTGGAAGCCAGAACAACCTCTACTGCTGTCCACAATTATTATTGTTTTGGGGCAGGGTCTCTCACGGGACAGGAAACCACCTGTCCCTGCTACTTCCTTAGTACTGTAAGTGTGTGCTACCATGCCTAGCTTTATATAAATATATTTATTTTATGTTTGAGTGTTTTGCCTGCATGTGTATGTGTGCATGTGCACCACATGTGTCCTCAATGTCCACAGAAGTCCAAAGAGGGCATCAGATCCTCTAGAACTGGAGTTACAGGTCATCATGAGCCACTATGTGAGTATTAGGAATTGAACTGGGGTCCTCTGCAAGAGCAACTAGTCCTCTTAACCACTGAACCATTTCTCTAGCCTCCCCCAAAACCCCAGGGGTTCAGAGGACTGTGTTCAGGTCCCCACGCTCACAAGGCAAAGACTTTACTGACCAAACCACCTCGATAATCTTACAATGCTTTTACACGATTTGAAGAAATCAGAAGGTACTGACATTGCACCTAGATTTAGCCACAATTCCTCCTACTGGTGAGAGGAGAGCCCACAGAAGCCAATATCAACTTCCTCACACAACTCCAATTTAAATTAAACTTCCTTTAATGAGATAAAAAACAAAAACAAAATGGTGCATTGCATAATATTTGTGGCCACAGTATAAAACAACACAATTAGTTTGTATAACATTGGATACGGACAAAAATACACAAGACCTTCTCTTTTGTCTACGGAAAAGTCTGCAGATCCTCGTGTTATACACTAGAAAAGAAACCCAACCTTGTTCTCTTAGTGACCTGCACACATGTGTGTCACTGAGAATATGGTCACACATCAGAGAACTTACCTAAACCCTAGTTCCCTTCTTCCTTGTTGTCATCGGTGGGGGAAAAAAAAAAAAAAAAAAAAAAAAAAAAGAAAGAAAAAAGAAATTCCCCCGAAAGTAGTGAGTCGTGTAGTATTGCTTATTGTTCCTGCTCCAAGGGCGCAGTCTTTGGCTCATAGATGCCGTAACAAAATCATGGCTGCAGGCGGTCTGCAAAGCAGGAGGCAAAAGCCACCAGAGAAACAGACAGAGGTCTGGGCAGGAGGGAGCCGTGTGGCTGGGAGGGGAAGACACACACATCGGGACATTTCTAAATGAGGATTTAAACCCAGCTGGTGAGTCAGGGTGCCAGCATATCCCATGCATGAAAAATTTGAAAAGTTGTTAAAAAGCCAGAGTTTGCATTTTTCTTATTTTTTAAAAAAGTGAATCGTGTGTGTAAACATCATAAAGTAAACAATTTAAAGTAATTTCTAGGCTTCCATCTGAATGTAGCTTTGTCTCTTTCTGGGGGGGGGGGGT